CGGACAGATACGGTTGGACTGGATGATCTCTAAGGTCTTTTCCAACCCAGTGATTCTATGATTCTATGATTCTATAAAGCACGATGTATGGAATTCGGTGAATGCGTTCGAAACCGCAGCGGTAGTTGTATACGAAGTGTAACGTGTTTGGTGAGAGGAAAGGTGGGTCGTGATCCACCGTTAAGTTTGCGGGAACTAAGAGGAGCCTCGTAGGCTCCTGGCGTTGCTGTTCCTACCAGCCAGAGCCTTGAAAAGAAAGAATACAGTAGATTTTCACATGGTTTTGCTGATGCCAAAAATCTTCCTTCTGATGAATATCACATGATGCGTAAGCAACGGATTTTCTAAAAATACACAGATATAATAATGCTGGCAACTTAGTAGTGGGTTTATGGAACAAGAGGAAGGAATTGTTATTCCTTTTTCAAATTTCTAATTAAGAATGAAATGCTTACACTGACTGCCAGTAACGCTGGCCTTGAACCCCACTGCTGAACTGCTCATTAGGGCCTCCATCCTCAGCAGGTCCTGACCAGAAAACTCGCCAGCTCTTAGTTGGCATTTTGTGGGTTTTTTTAGTGCTGTATGTTATCTGCTTTGCATGTAGCCGAGTCGGTGTTCTGCCACGCTTTACGGATGGCACCCGCAGGCCCTGGGGCCTGAATTCAGCCAAGAAAAAGACAGAGGACAATTGTTCTGCAGGGGGGAAGTTGGGAAAATTCATTAATGAGGAAATTGGTGTTTTATGTTTGAGAGAGTGAAAGAAAAACACTTAAAGCCAAGAAAGGAGAGCTGTTTCTTGTCCAAGGCAATAGCAGGACAACATCAATGCCAACGAGAGAATGAAGGAGACAGCAAAAGAAATCTGTTAGGAGATATAAAGGAGTGGAGTGAAACGAGTCTTAAGGATAGGAACAGGGAAGAATTATTTCACTTAAGAGTGAAATGACCAAACAGCAAAAAGGAAGATGTTTCTCTGCGTATCAAGAAAGAGCATTTAAGATTTGAATGCATTGGTTTAACCATTGTGTGCGCTGGGCTGAGCCAGAGTATGGCTGTCACGAGGCTGCGGGGGGTGCACGGCGGCTGCAGTCATGCCTGTCATGTCAGTATTTGTTGTAGGGCTATGCTGGGTTAAATACTGGGGTGAGCACTACAGGACAGGAGGGAGATAAGTCAAGGAGGAGGAAACCAAGGAAAAAAAGAAAAAGGCAGTGACTGGGAACAGGGAACCTCCTGGTCCGACCTCAGAGAGGTTGAGAGGCAATGCCTGAGCTGTTACTGGGAAAACGTTGTATTTCAGGCTCTAGCCATGTTACAGAGCTCATTTTGCCAGTGCTGGGAATCAAGAGGTATGTAAACATTTTTAAAGGGCTGTAGCGGTCTGGAGGTCAGGCAATTGCTAGGAAGGTTTTTCAGGAACACTCACGTGATCTAAAGACATCAGTGGCTTTAGACTTGTTTTTAAAAAAACGAAGGTTTATAGATGAACTAGGCCCCTGGTTACTTTAACACCTTTTTTTTTTCCTCTTCCTAGCTAAGTGTAGAGGCATAACTAACTTCATAAGCCTCTCTGAAGCCCAGTGCAGTAGCTGAAGAAATGCCTTTTGGGCCTGAGGGACTTCGCTTGCAGTACAGGGATTTAAACTTCACTGCTAGGGAGTGTCTTCCAAAACTAACAACCTGGTATTTTCTCTCCTAGCTCTGCTCTTAGGAAACGCAACCAACTCCTCACATCACGGAGGCCCAGCATGAATGTTAACTGTGCTGGTGGGACAGACTGGTCAAGGAATCCGGAGTCCAGTTGCTCTGTGGAAAACATCACTGCAGCAGTTCATGAGTCTGAAGAAAGTAATGTGGTGCTAGGAGGTCACAGCCCTGCTGCAGTTCCCAGGACTGAGGGTAAGGATGATGTCTTTACCTTATGGTAGTCTCTGAGGGAGGGTTTGGGGGTTTTTTCAGCTTTGTTTTGTGTTACTGTGATGTTTTTCAATAAGTTATATCTTGCCGTTGCAATATTCGATTGTCTCTCTCAGGTTTAGATTCCGAATGCCGACACGCTGCTTGTCCAGTAAGTCCCCAGATCAGTAGCATGTTGTCTGCTCCTGAAGACACGCACAACTGTCATTTCCAAGACGGAAGTAAGAGACAGCCAGAATATTTTAATACCCAGGAACGCCACGGGTGTTGCGCTTTGTCTTCAAACGCCAGTTCACAGACAGTGGCTCCGGAGAAAGTGACGCTTGTGGTAGATGGCACTCGCTTTGCAGTGAATCCCCAGATTTTCACTGCTCACCCTGATACTATGCTGGGAAGGTGGGTGATTTCCACCATTTTCAAGATACCTCAAGGTGGTCAAATGTTTGCTGAAGGCTGAGAGAATTGGGCTAAAGGCTGAGAGAGTTGGGGGGGTTCAGCCTGGCGCAGAGAAGGCTCTGGGGAGACCTTACTGCAGCCTTCCAGTACCTGAAGGGGCTACAAGGAAGCTGGGGGGGACTTTTCCCAAGGGTCTGTAGTGACAGGACAAGTGGTAACGGGTTTAAATTGAAAGTGAGGAGGTTTAGATTAGATATCAGGAAGAAATTCTTCCTGGAGAGGGTGGGGAGCACTGGGACAGGTTGCCCAGAGAAGCTGTGGATGCCCCATCCCTGGAAGTGTTCAAGGCCAGGCTGGATGAGGCTTGGAGCAACCTGGTCTAGTGCAAGGTGTCCCTGCCCATGGCAGGGGGGTTGGAACTGGATGGTCGTTAAGGTCCCTTCCAACCCAAACCAGTCTGGGATTCTATGAAAATAGAACAAACCCCTAATGTTTGTTTTGCGATCCCATCTGTACGCACAAGCGAAGCGAGGTTGACCTCATTCAGAACTTGGCTGTGTGTGAGGCCTTGAAGGCAAGCCCAGATGTACAGAGTTGGTAGTTCTCTAGATAATGTTCCCCTTCGGTCCACTTCCTTTGAACAGGGTGCACTTCTAGCTAGACATGCTCTGCTTTTGCCTTTTCCCCAAGTGTTTGCCGTGTTTGTAAGTAGTACATCTGTTCACAGTTGATAAATTTTCTTCCAGAATGGGGGAAATGATAATGCTTCATCCCCCTCCTGCTATTAGCTTATGATACTCTCCCAGAAGAGAAGTTACTCAGCTCCCTGTAACAAAGCTTAAAGGTTGGAGCCTGTTGCCACAACCAGAAACGCTCCTTTTCCACACTGCCAGCACTTTCACCCGTCTCTGACCGAGGGGAGGCAGGTTTACTGACCCTTGCAGGGATTGTTGTGTAAAACAAGGGATCAAAAGGCACCGGAGGGGTTATCTTGCATAGCCTGAGTGAAAGGGCTTTATTGCCAGGATGTTTTCTGACCCAGGGTTGAATGAGCTGTTCCTTTGAGCTGTGCCTGTTCGGTGCAATACAGTAGCTGTAGGAGCACTTTGCTGGGACAGCTCCTGTGCTTATTTACTGCGTAAGAGATTTGAGTATAGGTTTCGAGTCACTGTATATATGTGTCAGAGCTGGTTTTGTGTAATCTCAGTGCACCTACTGATCTCTAGAATTAATGCATTTAACTATACTTGTGTGCTTACAAAGATTTTTTTTATTCTGTTCAGAATGTTTGGACCAGGAAGAGAATATAATTTCACCAGGCCAAACGAAAAGGGAGAATATGAAATCGCAGAAGGAATTAGCTCAGCAGTGTTCCGGACTGTGCTGGTAAGGAGATGTTTGCAGACTGAAAAAGAACCCAGTCTGTTTGTCACATGTGCAGAACCCAGCCATCTCCCAGGCAGCTGCACACCCCCTGGGACATGCTCTTTTATTACTGTTTTGTATTGTGATTTTATAAAAAAAACAGTATAATAGGCTTTGGGATGCGTCATCATTTTGGATACTTGCTCATGTTGGCTTTCACCTTTCTTGTGTCATGCCAACGTAGTTCCTGAGCTGTGTCCTGACCTCGTGTTGCCTATAAATGCGTACTGCATGTGAGGTGTTATGAAACCCTGTGCCATGGGAAACGGGAGCTCGCAGTTTATCAGACCCAAGAGGATCTGCAAAGAGAGGCAGATTCTCAGACGAGCAGGACTATTTCTGCTGTTCCCAGAGCTATATATAGCCTCTGTAACTCTGTAATGTTGCTTAGCAAAACAAAGAACTAATTAAAAATTATCAGAGTCCAAGCTATTCTTAATTTTTCTCTTCAAAAACTGTCCTTTTATTTACAGGATTATTACAAAACCGGGATCATTAACTGCCCTGATGGGATTTCCATCCCAGACCTTCGAGACACATGTGATTACCTCTGCATAAACTTTGATTTCAACACAATCAAATGTCAAGATTTAAGTAAGTATGGAGAGAAATCATCTCTCAGGATATCCATCATCTGCATGGTGTTGAGCACTCTGATCCTCACTGAGTATGGGTCTTGATCATGTGCTTTAGTGTAAGCACGAAGGTATCGACCCCACTGGGACTCAGTCTGCGTTGCATTTAAACAGCTTCCTTTCTGCTGCATCAATCCAAAGTGAAGCAACTGAGTCCTGCAGAACGCAGGCACCTTGCTCAAAAAAGAAAATGGAAATAGTAAAAATTCTAGTCTCCTCTTGTAACAGAGGCTGAGAAGAGCTTGCTGCTACAGCCAAACAAGGTGAAGGCTAAAAACAGGGTTATAGCTGCTGTCTAAAATGTACTGGGGAATTGTGACTCATTTAAGCTGACAGATGATGGGCAGAGCAGGAACCGAAGACACCAAAGTTGGAAGGTAGTAGAGAGTTCCTAGTCATGATGGGATCTGACTGGGAGCAGCTTTTTGGTGGGAATGCTGGCAAAAAGGTACTTACAGACAAATCTATGCAAGGCCCTGTGCTGAAGTGGGGCGTATGGTATCGTAGCACAGGCCTCGGGTGGAGTTTCCTACCCTGTCCTCTGGTAAATGATCAGAGAGAAAGCAGCAAACGTGCCTTCAAGGGCAGAGATTGTTGCTGGAAATTCAGGTTAAGTACCATAATGGATTAATTATTCAGGCTATTACCGTTTCGCTGTATTGATTGGACCTTGGTGTTTTTAATGGTAATGCAACGGTTCTACAGTGTAATTTGCATCCCATTTGCAGCGCGGTCTCACCTATCTGATTCTGCCAGTTCTGGAGCTGGAGACTCCTGGTGCATCTGAACATACGTTGAGGAGCTTGTCAAAAGTAGAACAGGGGCTGGGCTCTTGAGTGTCTCGGGGAAGTGTAGAGCCGAGACGTAACTTCGTAGTATGTAAAAAGCTCATCACGTGATTTACATCTCCTTAGGTGCTCTGTTACATGAGCTCTCCAACGATGGTGCTCACAAGCAGTTTGATACCTACCTGGAGGAGCTGATTCTGCCCATCATGGTGGACAGCGCAAGGAAAGGGGAACGGGAATGCCATATCGTCGTGCTGACAGATGAAGACACAGTGGACTGGGATGAAGATCACCCACCTCCAATGGGCGAGGAGTACTCGCAAAGTAAGGGCTCTGCGCCGGAGCTCACGGCTCTGTGTTTAGTGTATGCCCAGACATCTGGCCGTTAGGAAAGGGCCCGTTGTCCAAACAGCAGTCTTCCTCCAGGAAGAGGTGCTGGCACATGGAGTCCTGTTTTGCCAGTTCAGACGGAACGCGCTGCTGCTTGAGGCAGGACGCGTGGCTGGTTAGAGCTTCAGTCTGACCGCCTGCCCTGGTAACCACAGTGCTCGCTGCATCTTTTCCTTTTGTTTGCGGCCTCCCCTCAGCCTTTTCCTGGCTCCCTGCTGAGGGAATACTCTTTGCTTTCCACACCCATCACCAGGGTTCTCTCCAGACTGCAATGTCTGTCACTGCCCTCCCACCAAGGAAGTGAGCTAATCCCAGTGACGAGAACAGACACCTGAAATAGTTCTTGGAAACCAGACCTGGGTTTTGGCACCCCCACAGCCCAGCATGTCAAAAACAGGGAGAAGGTCCCTCCTTGTAGACTCTAATCACCCTTCTTATTTCTCAAGTCCTTTACAGTTCCAAGCTGTACAGATTCTTCAAGTACATTGAGAACCGGGACGTGGCAAAGGCTGTATTAAAGGAACGGGGCCTGAAGAATATTCGCATTGGCATCGAAGGTAAAGTATTTCTTCCACAAAGGAAATTCTAAACCAGGTGACTCCGTAGTCAGTAAAGCCTGGTTTCCTCTGGACTCCAGGCATTTCCTGTTTTGCTGGTTTACTAGACATTTATTTTCATGAAACTAGTAGAAGCTAGGCATCTCCCTTCACCTCTGTCTTGTTACACTGAACTTGGCCAGGAGGCTTAAAAGTGAAGGGAAAAATGAGGTACACAGCATAGAATCATAGAATGGT